AGGCCTTTGAGCAAAATATCACGCATGTCGTTCGCAAGTTACCAGTCGAAATGCTGGAAAATTGGACTCAACAAAAGAGATAATCTTCAAAAGATAAATTCCAAATAATGTCCTTTCGAATGATACCCAATTTATTGGAGAGCTCACCACTATATTTGAAATGTTATATTTCACTCACTACCGCACATTAAGGAAAATCCCGGTGTGTTTATATTATTATTTATATTTATTTTCGCATAATAATTATTATTAAATAACACAATTATTACAAAACTTTAACTTAACTTTACGTTTTTTGAGCGATATAATTGTTTGTGTTGAAAAATATGCGGGATTGCTTTTGCGAAACGATGTGACGAATAGCGTCGGTCCAATCGCCGATGTATCCGGAAACGCGGGACAAGGTGCCTGATCTAATTTAACGCGTGCGGAGCGGTATCGTATCAAATGATGTATCGCAGAAGCTTTTGTAGCAACCAAAAAAAGAGTAGCGTGATTAATCGCTTTTGTAATCGAATATGAAGTATCTGCGGCGGAGACCTTTTTGTTTGCTTAGGTGGTGTGCACTCGCGGTGCTGTGTTTTCCCGTGTGGTGATGTATGAGTATGGTGTATTGTGGTGGGTTATACTAGGGTGTGTCATTATTTTCACGGGTGAAGCGGTGTACTTGGCGGGAGGAGTTTATACTCATTTAAACACCCATTAAATTTGAATTTTTTGTGTTTTTCTTTAAAAAAAAAAAGAAATGCACACTCTACATAACTGAGGCCATATATCGGCATTAATATTATATAATTATAAATAAATTAATCATAACTGGTAAATATTGTATATTTCTATGTTGAATATGTAGATATGTATATATACTTTATTTATTGGAATTGTTATAAAAAAATTGTTTCTTCTGGTTCATTTTAGCACAAAATTGAAAGTGGAAGATTTCTTCATCTTAACCTAAAATATTTTGTTTGATTACCTTAACATAGGTAACCCATGTTAACCTTTTTGTTTGGTTACCAAACACCTATTAATTGCTGAGTATGGCGATAATTTTGCGTTGCGATAGTTGCGTTGGAGGTATATCTCTACACACCGATTTATAACAAAGACTTCCTCTTGGAAGATGCTCGGAAAACTTTCCATGGGAATGGCGAGTTTGCTACGTGGTCCTGCATCAATTCACTCCGACGTTTTCGCGCCGTCAATGTACCACTTGATTGTACTGTCCCTTAGCAGTAGGTCGAGCGCAGAATCATTTCATTCCGCCTTACTGCTAAGGGTAACTTTAAACCTCCTAGTGAAGTTTAGCTTTCTTGGAAATAGAGCAAGTAGTATTTCATTACTTAGGGCCTTCATATGTTAGGACGAGATTACCTGTTGTCATTTGAAGCATTGTATGTTTAGCAACTTGACTGATTACTGTATGTAGCGGAGTGAAAGCTTGACTATGGTCAGGTCCACATGTTAGTCATTTCCAACTCTCTGCCTCCAATTGATAAATTTCTGAGGCCGGGCAGAGACCTTCGTCTCGTGAACAAGACGATAGTAGTTTTCGACGGATTAATGTTCAATCCAGCACCGCTACACTATCCCTTTGCCAGACTTAATCCCCTTTGTATGATGTCACAAAGAGTCTGCAAATCTTCCTCTGGCTAAAATAACAATGTCTTCCTCATATCCCTGACTTTATCTATGTATGTCCCTGACAGGGAATCCCATTGTTAGTTAGCAGCTCAAGTAGGTCATCCACGACTAGGCTCCATAATCGGGGGGATAGCACTCCATCCTGTGGGAAGCCTCTTGCTGTGCCTAGACGAGTCCTAGTGTAGTAGCGAGTACATATATGTACATTTTTTCTTCCAAATTTTATTGTAAAATAGAAATAATGATCTTTTTAAATTAAATTCAATTTACATATGTACATGTATATCCAAAGTAACAAGTGTTTTTTTCTTGCCCTATTAAGTTTAGTAGTGTGTGCAGTATTAAAATTCAATTAAAGTGGGAAACCGGAAATCTCCCCTCTTTATTCACTTTCTACTCATTTTAGATATTTGTGAATTTTTGAGGAAAATTCTCAAGCTGGGCTCCATCACCGTTCAGTTCTTAAATTATGAAAATTTAAATTATTTAATACAAATAGTTCTAAATTTATTAATTTAAAATTGTTTGTTAAATTAGCTAACATGCATATATATATGTATATAATGTGCGAATACTAAGAAATAGTAAATTAATGTAACTATTATTGTAAATTTTAAAAGGTATAACAATTAGTATGAACTATCTATAAACCATATCTAAGTTTTTTTTATCAAATAAATAATGATAATGTAGAATTCATATATACTTGTGTGCGAACACATCACTAATTCTTTTGTTTGTATTAAATAATGCAAAAATAACTTTAATTCAATATTTTACTTTTTTAAAATCCATTTATTCATACAATAACAAATGGTTGCAAAAACAAAAAATAAGTGTAAGATTCATTGTACATATATTAAAGAGTTTGATTTTCGAACTTTAAATCAAATATCTCAAAAATCATCGGATAATGCTATCCTAAAATTTACACATTGTTTTATTTATAACGAAAAAGGTAACCCATACGTTAGGCGTTGGTACCAACAATGAATATCCAAACAAATAACCCATAGCAAATGATGAAGTAACCGATGCACCTGTTTTCTGTAACTTATAGGTTACCATAGCAATGACCAAACAAACTATTTTCATTATAGTTTTCCAAAATAATTGCCAAATTAAAACAGTAAAATATATTTAGCATTTGCGCAAAAGCAATGAGAGAGAGCGGGAAAGATAATCACGCCGACGTGTAGTGAAAGAGAAGAAATAGCTACTTTTTTCCATGGCTAGAACAAAAGTCACCTTTCGGATAACAAATGCATTAATTACTGATAGCTTATCAGTAACTAGTTAGCTGACTTTTTCTCGTCTTGTATAGAAAATATTTTTTGAGTTTACTTAGAGATCTCCGACGGCCGATATATTTATTGGTGCTTGATTTGTATACTGGAAAGTGAAAGAATCAGATGGAATGTAAAGTTGCGTTATAGGCGTGGTTGTAGTCCAATTTCACTCCTACCAAATTTGTTTGAAATTGTTTTTTTTAGTTCTTGAGATATAGGTTTTCACCCAAAGCTGGATGTCTACTGTCCAATTTTTATATTGGCTGCTATAAAGCTCGATCGTACCATCTTATGCGTAAAATATAATGTCTCTGACATATTTAGTTAAGTCTGTTATTGAACTTTTATCAACACTGTTATATGGAGAGTGGCTGGGATTATAATCCAATTTCACTTATTTTTACAGTGTCGTAAGAGGTGATAGAGGTATTTGCAGATTTATTTGATATATTGTAGTTGAATGGTTTAAGAGATATATACATTAAACCTATTAGGGGGCGGGCCCAACCCTCTTTTTGAAGATTTTCAAACCACAGGTCCCTCTCCTTAATAACATTCATTTTATCAAATTACAGTTTTATATCTTGCCAAGGAACATGTGTACCAAGTTTCATCAAGATATCTTAATTTTTGCTCATGATACAGCTTGCACGGACGGACGGATAGACAGACAGTCAACCGGATTAAACATGTCTAGCCAACGTGATCATTTATATGTATATCTGGACGATTGATAGGTGATACAAACAACCGCTAGGTGAACAATACTCTTATACTCCGTAGCAACATGTTGCAAGAGTATACAAATTTAAATCCCACAAACCGAATTAAAAAATAAAAATAAAAACATTTTTATCACAAGCATACATATAATTAAGAATTACTATCAGGTCACAAATTTCAAATAGATTGTATAATTGATTATATAGGACTATACGATGCTCAAATAGTGACTAGAGATTGCTTAGTGCCGTTTTACATTGGGACTCAAAAGAGGGGACGACGAGGAAAGACGAAGGGACCGTGCCACATGTGTTCGGGTGGCACGCTTTGTGTTCTTGTTCGTAACAGCTCGCTGCTACCCTTTTCAGCATTCCTTTTCACTTTCAAATCCTTTGAATGGTTGCAAGAGCGCTCGGTTTCAAATGAATTCGATAGCAAATTTGAATTCTGTTATCTATTTTTTGTATGTAATATGCAAATATGTATGCATAGAATAATAGAAATATTTTCAAAAATTGTAAATAAGGAGAAAATTAGGATATAGATTATGGAGTAAAGAAATTATGAATTTTTAATACGGAGTAAAGAAATTATGAGTTTTTAATACTTAAAGATTAGGAAATTCCTATTATAAATTTGGCCTTGAAAATATTAGTAGCGGATATTCAATACATTCTTGTGGATTAGGGAATTCCCGTCTTTAGTATTTCTTTGAAACTATTTAGCGGGTAGGTACTTGTATTATGCATATTGTTCTACCATATTCATGGTAATTCATTGCAAGCAAAATGTGTGACCATCATCTCAACATACAAATGAAATACGCAGCACGCAGTGTTGCGCAGTCGAACCGCACAAATATTTACGAAAATTTTGTGAAAAGGTATGCAGAAAAACTAGACTCGAGTTGCTGGACTCTTTTTGACCGTGTGAATGCACAGAGCGACACCAAAAGAAAATTTGATAAAAATGAGACTCTTTTGAGTCCCAATATAAAATCACACACACTGAACTAGGCTATAAATCTGTATAAAGGCCTATTCACATACAACTTTCCTCGCTTTGCGTGACAGTTCATACTGAAACTTAAACAACGGAACGCAGAAAACAAAGGTTATGGCACAATGAACGCTTTGCTTTCAATATTTCTCTCTAATAAAACTGGCGACTGTTGCTTGGCTAATGATGAGAGTTGCCTAAAATTTCGCTTGGCTTCGCGCCGAAAACGTTTTATGTGTACGTGCTCATAGAAAAGCGATCTATTTTGTCAAAACAAATGTTTTAGGCAAAGCGAAGCCAAAGTTCTATGTGAATTGGCCATATTTGTCTAAGAATTATTAGTAGCCCAGGAACAGACCTACACATTAACAGCTGTTTTATTTGGCGCCACTTTGAATCTAGTAGACGATTTCTTGTTAAAAGATCGCTTTCAAATCCATTTCTTTGGAATTTGTAAGAGGATGAAATGGATTATGAAGTGAATGAAAGTTTACGAGTTGTATTTCAGGTATAAATTTGTAAAATTAAGTGAATTTTTATAATATGTAACGTTATATTTATACGTAATTTATAGGCGATAAAGGAGAGATGTAGTAGACCAGTTCTCTTCGATGGGTTTGAACTAAAGGTGTTGTTGCAGAACTTAAGTCCACTGGAGCAGGTAGAGATGTGTTTACCTTGTAAAAACTACGAAAGTTGCAATTAAAAAAATTCTATTCCAGTTGCTAGCTGCAAGGTATTTTTGCAAGTTGCCATGGAATGTAGGAAGTTTGCGAGTTTTGGCTGTTCTGCAATCGGCTAATGTACTCACGGCAAGTAATTATTTATTAAGGTTTGTAAGAGTAATCCAGTTAATTGATTCATTGTAAATTAGTTAAATATTAATATAAGTATGTATATATGCAGACTGGAGAACGATGAGGAGGTACAGTTAATTCTGAATGATTTCCTCGAAGCTGAATTTGAATTGCTAAAAGAATTATATACTGTCGCATATTATGGTACTATTTTGTGATATTATTTGTAGTGAAAATTTTAAATTCGCTTTATAATTATTAGATAGCAGCAATGCAATAAGGCTAAACGACTGCCTTGATGAGTGTCTTTCCAGGTTGTATGCTGATTTAATGGAGAAACCGCAACTAAATGATTTAACTTACATTAATGGCATAACAAAGCATATGCCAAGTGAGTTGTTTTCATTTTTCATTTGCAAATGATGCGTTTAAAGACGTTAATCCTTGATATTCTAAAATTTAGCTGATTTTACACTAAGTTTGATGCAGAGGCACATTCGTGCTGCCTTAGATTTACATAAGAGCAATGCCAAAACAGCTTTTGGCAATTTTTCAAACTGGATCAATGAAGGTGTAGATGAAATTCAATTCACTAAAGAATTATATGAAAAAGTATGTATGTTCGAAATCTCATCATTTTGCTTGTTTAGTAATGACTGCAATTTCAGTTATTTCGACATTCTGAGCAGGAAGCGATTTCATATCTTTTTAAGCTGTCTTGTCTAGAACACTTCAGTCAGTGGAAATTTTATTTAATTCTCTTACAAACAATTTCAAGTAAATGCAGTGAGGAAAATTCGGCTTTTATACGAAGTTAAGTCACTCTTTGTTTAATGTAGAAAAAACGAAGATTGTTAAATTTTTGTATTTATTTCACAGAATACTTAAAAACACGACTAAGTCAAATAGCGGCACTTCCCAAACGCGAGAGTATGCTTCATTTGCTTCTGTCGGTTCGAGCCGCAACCGCAATAACGATGGATATTGATAAGAATATTACGGCATATGCTGATTGGTATAAACGAAATATATCTGATATGAAATTTGTTTTAAAAGTAGAGGAATTCAAAGCTATAATTGATATTTTGGAACAATGCATACCTTATGAATCATTAGAGGATTATCTAGAGGTACTTTATGTTATAATTAAATTAGTTTTGATTTTGTGGTATTAAATGTTAAACAATTTTTTAGATTCATGCTACTTTCTCAATATCCCCACCTGTTCATTGTGGTAAAATAGTACAAAGTTACAAAAGTAAATGCAAAATGCATTTGACCAAAATAAAGTCAAAAGCTAGACAAAGCAATGAACACGACGAAAGCATAGTCATAGAGGATTGTAATTGAATAAACTTATTTTTTTAAATGCAAGTGCGTATTATTTCAACAAACAAATTTACAACACCTGTATTACACCCTAAGCGTATCTCTTATTATCTGGACATAACTATATGCTTAACTCTACCCAAATCCTTATAGTTATTGTGCGCGATCTCCACCAGCTATAGGTTTATTTCTTTCGTCCCATAGTGTCACGCCATCACAAGCACAAATTTTTTTGAAATTCTCCATAATTCCTGCTGAACGTGCAATTATACCGCAGGCAATGCTATAAATTACCAGACATTATTTTTTTATTAAGCTCTAAAATAAATGTTAATAGCACATTCTTACCGTTCACCAGCGTTTCCATCGATGCGGCTCCGTTCATTGCCACCTCTCCCCATATCATCAGCATTCGCTGTTATCGCCACTGAGCGCCCAATGATATGCCACACATCTAATACAGGATCGACAAAACGAAAGGTAGCACGACCACTTTCATCAGCACGTATATTGCCCAAATCACCCGCATGCCGTGCATCAGGTGCATTGTCCGGACTGCCGTGTGGTGAGCCGCGTGGATTGTAATGTTCTCCGATGGAAGCGCAACCACTTGATACGTCCCCTGACTCATGCACATGCAAACCATGTAATCCAGGCGTCAAACCATCTACAACACCGTCTACCACCACACCTGGATTATCTTTTGTTAACGCACAAAAACGCAAAATTCCTTGTATCGGTGTACGGTCAACGTCACTGCCAGTAGTATTTATAATCGCAACCGCGGACTGTCCACCAAAACCAACCAGTACTGCTTTTCGTCCAGTGCTCTCGATTTTATCCTTAATAACATACCAAGGTTCCTTTGTTTCTATTGTAACTCGTCCTTCAGTCGAATCAATGTGAACATTGCTAGTACCCTGAAGGGCATTGCGCACTCTTTCAGCACAATCCTCACCTCGCATTTGTACTGCAAATTCAACCTGTTATTAGAAATGTGTAATAATTTAAAGAAGTATATTAGTGACAGATTAGTATTACTTTGATATCGCCCATTTCTCCACTTTCTATAGAGAGATTAACGAATAACTTTAATGTCTACTAGAAATTTCTGTTTTGAATTCAATTGCCAAAATAAATGATAAGGGCATAATTCGACAGCTGTTGACACTTTTGACGTTGGCATTGCCAAATGTAGTTTAGGTTCTGCAACAATTATACGCTATAAGAAAAGAAAAATACAACATATTTTATACTGTGGCAATTTGCTTTGTTAAAATATACATTATTCTAAGTTAATATATATTAGGGTCAGTTTTAGAATACCGTCCCAGAATTTCAGGGATAAAATGGAGGGTCGGCTTTAATATACCGTCCCAGGCTTTCGAGGATAAAATGGATATGGGCGGATAGAGGAGATCCTCCAGATCAAGAATATATATAGATATAGCCGCGGGAAACTTATAGTTTTCGGATATTTACGTTTAAAGTTGAAAATTTCAACTATTTAAAGTATGTATTTTTGCGATTTAAAATGAATTATACACTTAAATTTTTTTTCCCTTTTATATCCACTAACACTTGATTAATTCGTTTTTAGAAACTTTTTTTGGGAAAACTTTAGTTTAGCATCCCACGATTTCAGGGTTAAGAGGGGTATGGTTGGATAGAGGAGATTCTCCAGATCTCGAATATATATAATTATTGCCGCCGGAAACTTATAGTTTTCGAGATATTTGCATTTTAAGTTGAAATATTCACAAATTTCATTTTACAATTCCTCGATTTATGGTTATCTTTTCTTTTATATTATGCACTTATTACACAGTAACACTTCACTACAATGTTTCTACATATTTATTTTATATTAAATATTTAAGTATTTGCTTTAAATAAGCATTTAATTTTTACACAATTTTCGTAATATGAACAATAACAAATGGGAAAGCGAATTAAAATGAACAATAAAAGAGGATTATACTCCAAATACATGAACTATTATTTTGTTCATTCCCTATCCCTATCAGTCTATTTATTCACACAATAACAAGAAGGTTGCGTATATGGCGATCACATGGGGATTCTTTTGTCGTTCATTATCGCCAAATTGTCTTTTGGTGTCGCTCTGTGCGGGAAGTGTCCTCTTCATAAAGTTTTCGCAAATGTTTGTGCGGTTCTGCTAAGCGACACTCAGAGCGTATTGTATCGTTCATTTGTATGTCAGTATGGTGGTCTAATATTTTCTTACAAAGAATTACCATGAAGGTGATAATTATCATAATACCAGTCAAAAATGAGACTAATATTGTGTCTGCAAATGGTGCAATCATTGCAACACTTCCGACTTTAACTGGGTCTTTCTCTTTTACAATCGATTTTACAATTGATGATTCAACGAACCTTTCGACAAGTTTTATAAATTTATACAAAAAGAATAACTATATTAAAAACAACTCACCTTTGTAAAAATAAGTCCGCCATGTCAAAAATTTCCAAATTTGTTGCCAGTATTGGTATAGAGCATTGTGTAAAAGTGTGGCGTAAGCTAGTTTTAAACTACTTTTTAGGAAAGGAATATATCTTCTTTTTTACTTTAAAGATATTGGAACTTCAAGAAATAGTTTATCTAAGAAGTCTATATATTCAAAAACTAAACTTAGAACTGTATAATAATATTTTAATTGTTTATGTAAAGAGTTATAATAAAATATTGTAGAGATACTGTTGTTGGAGAAGTTCGGCGCGAAAGAAATGTGCAAAGTGTGTCTATGTTATGATTTTTTTTGCAAATATTAATTTTTCGAAAAATTGAAACAAATAGAATTATTGGGAAATATACTTTCAGCTCGCAGATTTGTCACCTTCGTGTCAAAATAAGACGATCTAAAAAAAAGTTATAATTTGCCTGGCCTCCTTCGTTGGGGGACCTAAACTATACATTTACCTTTTTATAATTATTTGATTCCAGTATCCGTTATTCTACCAATTTTTGAATGAATCACAATTATATTTAATAAGATCTTATTAACATATAATATAATCAGGGTTGCGAACTTTTTAATTCAAAATTGAAAATCTAATGACATCGAAATTAAATATTTAACCCAAGATTGGGATTTTTGAATATATATAAATATAAATAGATGCCGAGATTACAAATTAGACTTTAGTTTTTTTAATACCGATATTGGGGTTAAAAATTAAAAATCTAAATTTGAAATTCGAATTTTTAGTCCAATATGTTTGTAATAAAAAATAGAAAATTCAATTTTTTCATTTGAATGTGTAAGTTTGCCGACCAGTGCTCTAGCGAGGGTGGGGGAATGGATGTTGTTCAGGGTGTAGTGTGTGAAAAAAATAAAAATATATTTTTCCACGAACATAATGGTGTTGGGATGTTTTTCCTGGTAAGGCGTTGGTCCTTCATTTTGGATAAAGAACACAATGACCGCCATTGAGTACAGAGACATTTTGCAAAACATGATGCTACCATATGCTGAAGAAAACATGCCGCTGAGATGCTGTTATCAACAAGATAACGGCCTGAAACATACATTGAGGTTGGTATCTTAGTGGATCAGAGATGCGAATGTGACCTGTATGCGATGACCTAGTCAATCACCTGATCTCAACCCCATTGAGAACTTGTAGAGTGACCTTAAGAGCAGATTCGCAGCCTTTTCATTTCAAAATGAGAAGCAATTGTGGCAGAAAGCAAAGGAACTGTGGGATGCTACCCCATTAGAAACCTGCCAAAAATTAATTTAATCCATGCCAAATAGAATTGCAAAACTAACGAAAACAATGGAGGATATAATGGTTATTAAAAACCCATTGACCAAAAATAGGATAACTTGAATTTTTTGATTTTATTTAAAAAAAATATTTTACATCATATTTTACACATGATTTAATCACGTGATATTATTGGAATGTTTATATTAAAACGTGTCATTTTACAACTTTATTTTTAGACATACTTGTATATTAGGACGGGACGTATTTAAAGACTAGTTTTATAATTTTTTATTATACTCTCGCAACCTGTTGCTACAGAGTATAATAGTTTTGTTCACCTAACGGTTGTTTGTATCACCTAAAACTAATCGAGTTAGATATAAGGTTATATATATTATATGTAAATGATCAGGATGAAGAGACGAGTTGAAATCCGGGTGACTGTCTGTCCGTCCGTCCGTGCAAGCTCTAACTTGAGTAAAAATTGAGATATCTTTATGAAACTTGGTATACATGTTTCTTGGTGCCGGGAGACGGTTGGTATTGCAGATGGGCGTAATCGGACCACTGCCACGCCCACAAAACGCCATTAATCAAAAACAAAGAAATTGCCATAACTAAGCTCCGCAATAAGATACAAGACTGTTATTTGGTACACAGGATCACATTAGGGGAGGGGGCGGCGTTGTCCCGCCCCTAATAGGTTTAATGTGCATATTTCCTAAACCGCTAATGCTATAATAACAAAGTTCACTGGAAGCAAATGTTTTTAGTACCTCTACCTACAGTGTGAAAATAGTTAAAATCGGGTGGCAAATCCGCCCACTCCCCATATAACGGTACTGTTAAAAATACTAAAAGCGCGTTAAATCAAGCACTAAACACGCCAGAGACATTAAATTTTATATATGGGATGGTATGAGATAACTTTATAGAAACCGCGTTCAAAATTAGACAGGGGGCGTGGCACCCCCACTTTTAGGTGTAAACCCATATCTTGGGATCTGCTTAACCGATTTCAACAAAATTCATGACGTTCTATTCATATTTCTATGTTATAGTGCAAAAATGAGCGAAATCGGACTACAACCACAACCATTTGATTCTTTCACTTCCACTATGCATATCAAGCAACAATGATTATATCGGGGTAAAACTTTGCGTGAATAATACGTTTAAAGTATGCCACATTGTGACCAAAAATTGTCTAAATCGAACCAAAACTGTTCAAGCCCCTAAGTTCTAAATATGTGGACCCTATTGCCTATAGTTTACCTTCTACCGAAAATATCAGTCAATCCACAAAGAAATCTCAAACGAGTATACCATTTGACTTTGCGAGAGTATAAAATGTTCGGTTACATCCGAACTTAGCCCTTCCTTACTTGTTTTAATATGGTATTAGGACGGGACGGTTTCACTTATCCGTATCATAATTATTTAGGACCGGGAAATACTATGTATAAAGATGATGAACCAGTAAACGAAGCAGATTTAGACGCATATATTTATGATTTGGAATATGAGTTAGCAACGACTTTCTGACAAAACATTTCCTCAATTAATTTATTCAAGTCGTTGAAAACAACAAAGCATCAGAGTTTAACAGAATTAAAAATACACCATATAAAGGTGGTTTTAGTGATTTTAGAGGTATTGAAACTAAAGCATTAATTGCTAAACAGATATACGATAGTTATTAAGTTGGAAATTATCATTATAATCAATTAAAAAGAGATTTTGATCCAACTCATGGTGCTCCCAGTGGATCCACCGCAACCGATAACGATAACCAGCCATCCTTCAAACGACCAAGACCTTCAGACGATAACGAACAAGATCAATCTAGTAGCACAGCTACTAATTACATTGAAAAATCAAATTATCGTTTTAATCTTAATACTAATATATATATTGATATGACATCGAGTGCATCGGGAAGTGGAAATTCCACTACTGGAAACATCACGTGGATAAGACCTAGTAGTCCATGTTCAAATAATTATATGCATTTTTCTAAAACTAAAATATTATGTAAATATAACTTACTAAAGTTTCTTGTCGGGTAACACCATTAGGAACAAGAACTGCATTTGATATAGGTTCTACACTAAGTAGTACAGCAACATCAGAATATATTATTAACATATACCGTCAAATGCACTTTGTGTACCAACTGATATTGCTGAGTGTTTTGCACATGAATGGAATAGAGAAAAAAATCCCGATGATAAAAAAAATCCTAATTATATTGTACATGATAAAGGAAGTGTAAGAATGGATGAAAAAGTTCATACATTTTTATTAAACCACGCAATAGGAATATCAATTGCTAATTAGGAATACAAACCTAAAAGTGGTTTTATAAAAAGAGGAAAGGAACATTATGTTCCAGAAACAAGAATAAAAAATAAAGTACATTCAAATCAAACACGACCACATACTTGTAGTCATGTACTTAAATTTTTTACAGCATCTGGAAAAACAATTCCTGGAGATATAGGTTTGACAAATACAATGTCTACTACAATTGTAATAAATAACATTAATGATATATATGCTAGAACTATAGAATCATATGGAACTTATCATCCTATAAAAGGAGGTTTTGGTTATGATGCCCAACCACAGTTACATGTTGGATTAATTGCTACAACTTTAAACCAACAGATTCAAATAAAAGTTATTTGATTAATAGTTGTTGTTATTGGAAAGTAGAATGTTCAATGTTGTTTTGCTAGAGGGTTAGTGTTAGTTGGCCTCTGGAGAAAACTTTTCCTGCAAACTGGGATCGTGCATCAGCTATAAAAGAAGAAAGCGACGAAGAAAATGAATTTTTAGTTGTAAAAAAAAAAACAAATGAATATAAAATAATTTTACATAAAATAAAAATATTATATTTATTTAATAAATGATAACATGCTAATGGATGTGGTTTCTTTTTTAAATATTTTTACATGGTTTCCATTTATAAGAATACATTCTCGATCTAAAAGCAGAATCTTTTGGAATAACATTATTATTTGATAATACAAAAATTGGCGTTCTTATAATAACAGCGTCATTACAATATTTTACTTTGGCATTTACTGTATCACCTCCAAATAACAGTTTTAATGTTTCTACTGCTGTAGCTTCTAGTTGGTTTAATATAATTCTTCTAGAAACACATTCCATTAAGGGAAATGAACACTGTCTATTGAAATTTCCTATTTGACCAAAATTTAAACAATAATAAATAAAAGTATCAAAAAAATAATTTTTTTAGCATTTGGTGGAGACACATAGTATTTTTTTGGATTATTTTTATCTAATATTTTATATAAATTTTTTAAAATGATTTTATTTCTAATTCACTATTTGAAAATTGAGATTTTAATAATTCATCTAAAATATCTATTGATTCATTTATATTATAATAATAATCATATAAATTATTTATTGTTGCATTAGCATTAGAAGATATAATAGAGAAATATGAGTATCCTTCTCCGAAAGAACATTCGCTTTCTTCATTATCTCCTCTACATTCATTGGTTTCTTCTTCAATATTGGACCGTTGGAATCCTGCTTCCTTTTCCTTTTTTGCTGCTTCTCCTTCATAATCGATGTCTCAGTGCTTGTGTATTCGCTATCATCTGCGTCTGGTCTAAATCTTTTTGAATATCTTGCGCATGTAGAGGATATTTCTCGTTTTCGCTCATTACTGGCGAAACATGGTTCCCGTACAATTGTTACTTTTTTCGAAGACATTATTACCACAATTACTATTTTCCGGTGAATAATTATATGAGCACTGACTATTTTCACTGTCTGTTAACATTTAAATTTTAGTAGAAAATTTATCCGTAAAATTTCGACATAAATTAAATTTGCTATCGGCCGCAGGCCATGATTGAGCTTAAGTAAAGCGTAAATATATCTAAAACAAAATTGTTTCAATTGCAAATACTTCAAAGTTATCAAATAAAAACTTTGTACACCTATTATTTTGTCCATAAGTGTACGTTCACGTTATTAATTCAATATTTTTTATGTTACATTTTTTACCTTTTCATGTTTCACAAGGTGATGGCCAGTGGTCCAATAGAAAAAAAGGACCAAATTTGGTCAAAATGGTAACCAGAACAGAGCGTTTCAAAATTCCCGTTTTATGTAACATTTTCCATTGTAGCCAAATCGGAACAATGATAATTTTTGGGTACTTAAATTAAAACACACAACAGAGAAACTTTTTCTATGATTTTATGGTACACCATAACAACGGACTTTTGCACTTCCAATACTTAATAAAATGATTTAAGCTTAATAGCTCTCAATTATTAAATGTTTTTAATCATTTTCAATTGATAATTTATACTATGATGTATCACATTACAAATAGTTTTAAATTTCTTATTTTCTTTAATTTTCATTGTTTTACATTTTTTATTAATGATCTTGAAGGGCGGCAACAAATCCCTCTGGTCACATATATTTTTGGATTTCAATCTGGCCGTTCTAGATGTTCCATCGTTATGTGATGAAATCTTATGTATGTATATGCCATGCCATGCTTCATAGTATTAATTATCAATTAGGTAGGTAGATAGGTAGAGTGGCACACCTAGGCCTCTAGGCGACTCAATGTGATACCAGCGGGACCAAAATCCTCCTTCTCTTCTCTGAACCACCCGTACTTCTAATGAACTTCATCAGTAAGACAAGTTTTATCTGTGCAACCTTGAATACGTCGTCAAGAAACCCTCGACCGATGGCTGCGATTTTTCTTCCTAAGTATCATAAAATGCCCCTTATTAGTGGCGACTAGTAGGGGGGATTCCCTAAGTCAGAGCTAAGTTCGTGCCATTTTCTTGCAAAACAAGTCTGTTGGCAGTAAATGTAAAATGACGTTTAGTGCCTTTATGTCTAACCGCGTATTTCTTATCCGTTGTTGGTCACCATACCAATATACTTATAAGTCATAATCGGCCTTACAATTGCTGTGTAGAGCTAGTGAGCTACTCGAGGCGTTAGTCCCCATCTGGGCCCCACCAATTTTTTACACGTGTGTAGCTGTTTTTTTTACCCTAGCTTCCAAGCTTGGTTTCCAAAAAAGCTTCCTGCCCTAAATTAGTCCCTTGTGCCACTTAATAATGGCGGCGTGATTTCTGGAATACTGTGTTTCTTAGTGAACACTACTAGCTCTGTCTTGCTAGCATTGAGGTTGTGAATTTTCCCTTAGAATACGCATGCTGCGAAACTGCTATTTTTCCTGGGTTTAGTTTGCTCCTTATGTGTATATATTAGCCACTCCAACGTTTTCAAGAGAAATGAGGAAAGACTAATTGGTCTGAAATCCTGTGTGAGCTTCTGCCCGCCTTTGGTATATATATCACTTTGACTTTCCTCCATAACGAGGGAATATAGTTTAATTCCATTGCCCCTTTAATGGAATATGTTATAAAAAAATTTTGAGGCGCTCTCACACTGTAATAAGTTGGACATCCATTTAGCCCGGCCAAAAAATACGCATGTATGTATGAAACAAAACTAAACGATTTATACGACCTTTAATATTGAGTGAGTGTTAGATATTTATAGAAATAAAGTTATATGTAAAAATAATTTTTTTTACAATACTAGTAAAACTATAAATAATTATCTTGTTAGTTGGAACAAAAGCTTTAGAAAATATTTTGTAATTACACTTGAATTGAAAATCGAAAAAGACAAGTAAAACATGTCACTGGGACAGTTGAGTCGCTCTGCACACGCATACACTCTCAAAAAATAAAATGTTTAAATGTGTAAGAATGCAAGAATGATAGTATAGTATACAAGATTACGCCAAATGCCATCGTGTGACGTAATTCTTTTAAGTTGATAAGAAGAAGCATAAAACAGTAAGTAAACTGTAAAAAAACGTAAAAATTTTTGTTAATTCGTGAAATAGACTTAATTTACTAGTTTATAGTAAAAATGTTTTAGTAAAATGAATAGAATACTGTTGTGGGAAAATATTTTGGTAATTTTTTAATAAATATTATACTTTTGATTGACAACATAAATTCCAATTGAGTGAATCATTAAGAGGGATTGTGATTGTGATGTATCCAGGAGTATTTTATTTGATTATACACCAATATATATACATGTATTAATAACAGTTATGATGTATTAAATGAAATTATAGTTCAAAAGATTCTGAAGTATATTTATTATGATAATGAAAAATTATCTGAAAGAAAATTTAAAAAACTCGTTTTAATGGTTTATTTGATTAATAGTTATTGCAACTCGACACTGCACACCTCATTTTTCAAAATCAGTATATTTTATACCTATACATTTAAATAAATACAACCTTCGCAATCACAATTTCTTCTAGTCATTCACTTAGTTTGGCAATTATGTTGTCAATAGATAATTCAAATATTTTCACGCAACATTCTCTTCATTTCACTAAAAAAATTTCACCAAACACTTATAAATTAAGTCTATTTCAAGAATTAACAAAAGTGTTTACGCTTTTATTTACAATTTACATGCTGTTCTATGCTCTTTCTTCTTCTCAACTCAAAAGAATTACGTCACTAGATGGCGGTATCGTGCCATTTGTGTTTGTAACAGTTGTCACAGCCTAAACCAAAAAACGCAACGGTAAGTATTGTCTTAATCTTGTATTTTATCATTCTTGGGATATGTGAAACTTTGGTAAGCATTGTTGCACAACCTTAGCGTATTATTTTGTATCTAACACAAAGAACGTTCGAATTACACCTTCAAGATATCGGTATAATATTGAAGATAACTTTGAATACTTACATATTTATCAATTCATAAGTATGTACATACATACATATGTGTACTATATATTAGTAGTAATGAGCAAGTGATCTAGTTTTGCAGATTTTTGCGCCGATATTGAACAAACGCAAAAGCAACAATGAAATGCAGATAATTCAGCTGCCGATAAGCCGATTGCTGGAGTAATACACGGGTATATGTATGTATGTACCTATATATGATTGTTTGTAACATATGTATGTATATTAGGGCAGACAATTTCCGGTTCTTAGGCTTAAAATTAGTCGAGTTTGTTAATAGCTCCAGATTCATTGGGATAATGCTTTTTTCTGGAGGAGAAATAACTGTATTACATTTGACAAGTAACAAATGAGTATACAAGTTTCAGTCTATATCGACATTTTAATATAAATTATCTGAAAAACTTTCTATACTATTGTTTTAAATCGTTCGCACACCCTAATGCACTCCAGTACTGGTATGTAAAACGAGTAAAAGTCAGATTAGAGTTAATTTTTCTTTTAAATCAACTTGAATCATAAATGAACAAGCCCATTCGCGTTGCAACCGCAATGAAGTAATGTTATTTGATGGAAATACTGCTTCATAAAGAAATAATATCGGTGTTATATAAGTATTTTATGCATTCGTTTGAATTCTCGTAATTTTTGAAGTTAAAATTTGAAAAAAATACTATTTTAATAACAATATTTTTGTGATTGTGGAAGTATTTATATTTAGTATTTAGGATAAAAAAGAAAATAAAGAGATACTTTCGCACATGTATGTGATCTAAAAAATCGCGAATGCAAGTGACCAACACTGACGAAAACAATAAAAACAAACACTTATGTATAACGTAGATAACTTGAGTGATGTTTGTGCAAAAGAAGTAAGCAAATCTTCACACTTCTGAAAGTGATAAAACGTATTTCACATTGATAAATTGTGAAAATAATTTATTTATAATATGCTATGTATTGTACTTCTACGTTTTGTTGCATTGACATTGTTTGTATATATGTACTCGTACATATAAATGTATATGAAGATTTCAATAAGTAAATACTAAATGATTTTACAATAAATATTCTATTTATTCTCAATTACTTCATAGTAAACAACAGATAACAGTAACAATAATAACACAAAATAAAATAGTATAAATTAGTAATTAATACTGTGTACTTAACATAACTACTGTAAAGACTGCACCATTTAGCATATAGTTTGGATAAGCATGGAAGATTTCAATATTTGCACCATATCGTTAGTGATAATAGTATTTATACTTTTCATCATTCGGGTAAGCAATATCCATACCTGTATAATTATATATGTAGGTATGTATGTACAATATATGTATGTGTGTACATACAATTACTTGTATATAAAATTAAACGTGCTATTTTATCCAGTATCTGGGCGATAGTGTTGATAGTATACTAGCGGTACGAAACAGTCGTAATCTTTGTTGCTACTTTTAAGCAACGGTACCGTTAGACAAATGATGCTTTTGCCGTTATTTAGATAAGAAATACACCGTTAAAGTTAGCTCAAAAATGACATATTAGGTATTAGATCACAACGTAAGATATTAAGATGGAATAGTTTACAAGAAGAGTCAAACATATGTATGTAAGTATACAAAGAAAGCATTTTGAGTGATATTTCTCAAAACATTTATTTTATAAACGTCCAGAAAACCTGAAAAAGCGCAATCTTTTTCTTAATAATAATTCAAGCTCAGTTTCAATTATAGTTTTTCTTTTCTTTTGAAATGCCTCACAAAGAGAAAAAAATCAAATTTGTTCCATAAAATTAATGAAAATCTGAGGAAGTTTAAGAAACGAAATATCTGATGAGATTGCTAAAAGTGGAATCCGACTGACTACTGAATCAGTATAGGAAATATGTAAGTTACTAAAAACGATACACAATGAAATTTCCGAAAGGGTTGACAGACAGATCAGAGTAAGATGAAATGCCAGGATCGCCAAGATCATGTGCAAGAACCCGCACGCTTTTACGCACACGGTCTCGAAAGGACTGCAGGTTGTTGGCATAACGACAGATCATAACCTGCTTGCATCGCATGCGAGTTGGATAGGCATAAGTAAGGACGATACATGCAAAAAGCGCAGCGAAGTAGGCATGAGACTAGCGTCTCATGTTCTAGCACACCTTCTATACTTCTACCCAGCCTTATTTAGAATTCGTTTCAGATATCTAGGAACTTCGCAGTTCAAGGGACTAGACAAAGTATCAAAATTAGATATCAAGTCGCTCTTGAAGTTCGCAAAAAGCGTTCAAATTAAACTGAACCTCCATCTGGCATTACTGAGGACTAGTAGGTCTATGTATGGTGCCAGACGGCCAGTAAAACCAAACCTAATCTAATGAAAACCCTGATTGCTTTCCTTTATAACTAGTATTTCTATTTGCTTTAATTTGAAATAATTACTTCTGACATATCTTAACTTGTATTAGTTTCTCCAAGCTTAATCAATTCCATTATTGACAGAGAGATCGTGCTACAAACAAAATATCGTGGTTCATAACTTAGAGTCCTAATCTTAACTTCATTCAATCGTTTTTAAATTATTGGTTTCAAAGTAAAACTGCTTTTGCTATTTTTTTTTACAATGGAAAGAGTGAATTTAGTGTTTTGATGTTTTGCGGATTCCTAAGTTTTATCTCTAAGAATAAATACCCCATTTTATAACCCTATTCAACCTTTTCACAATCATAATAAAACGACTTAAAGTTCAATCAATACAGCTTCTACAATTGACATCTCTGAAAGCATTCTAATATACATATTGACACGCTATCGATTGGTCGGATTGTGATAAGTATACTTGTATATGAATGACGCTCGATATTATAATAAGTTTCTAATAAAAATTTTCATCAAAACGGTCTAATTGTTACAGCTAATTTCAAAAAGTTTACATTTAAGACGTGATACAGGACAACGTCGGTCCGGCTTCTAGTAATTATATACATAAACATCTAAATACCACTCTGGTATAAATGTTATGAATAACAAGCAAGGAAGGGCCTATGTTCGGATGTGACCGAACATTTTATACTCTTGCAACTTGCAAGGATCAAAGGCGGGGTAATACCTTCTGGTGCTGACAAAACTTCATATTAAATAATGTTGCGTCAGAATTCAACATTCATTACTCGGCGAAATCGGAAATGAAAAACACGCTCACTCAATTTAATATATCGATATAAGTATGAGAGCCTCTTGAAGTTCGAAAATCTTTCTACTAGGTATATGAGGGCTAAACAAATATTAACCTGATTCAACGCATTTTGTAAATACAGACACACTATAATTAGGAAAGGATTTGGAGCTTAGTTATGGCTCTTTAAAGGTTTTCCATTAAGGTCTATTAATAGATGATTACGCCCATCTACGTACTCGCTCTCACATTTATGGCCAAAAACACGTATACCAAGTTTGTGTAATATGTCTTAATGTTTACTGAAGTTATAGCTTGCGCAAACGAACAGACAGACAGTCACTCGGATTTATATATGTATATTATATATAACCCTATATCTAACCGGATTATTTTTAGGTGATACAAACAACCGTTAGGTGAACAAAACTAGTATGCTCCGTAGCAACATGTTGCAAGAGTATAAAAATAGTCATTAATATACATACATATATGTACGTATGTATGTGTAACATGTGTACTCGCCAATATGACTCTATGACTCTTTCATTTCTTTAACAATTTGTATATTTTTGGTTTTTTGCAGATACTCTCCTTATCAATTCGAAATATAATTTTATTGCGGCAACTGAAGTATGAAGGTATGTGTCCATTTTATTTTAAAATTTAAGGAAATCTGATTTGTTTACGCATTCATCATTTGTGAAGAAGAAGATAAAAAGGTGGGTGAACTGTTTGAGTTGGTTTGAAAAGGTGAACGCCGACAGCAAAGGTTCTGCTTGACATTTCATCATGGGATGGTATTTCAAACAGACCATTGATATTTAGCAAATAATTATGGTTGCGGTTCAATGTTATAGCAAGAGTCAATGGTCTCAAGAGTCCGTTTATGCATTACTTTGGAAATATTCGTGCTGTTGTTTAGTAGAATTGCTGGGAAGTGAGTCTAAACGCGCTTGACATCTTCAGAGCTAAGACTTCTTTTTAGAAGGTGTTTCTGCTAAGAAAAGTAAGCTAAGTTGTTTATACACAGAGAGTATTTAAAACTTTATGGTTTCGCCATTGATCGGAGAAGGTTCGCCATTGAGGGGATCTACAAAAAATGGGATTAGAAGCTGTTTGAACATGAATGTCATACTCGTATTTATATCAGATATCATCTATCCAATACCATAATTACAACAAATAACGGGATTAAATTCGAGAGACCTAAATGTAATATATGGATAGCTATTCCACAGTAAACAACCCAGCCCTTGTCTATGGAAATTAGCGACAACTTTGACTAAACTTTGCGTTCTGTTTACCTTTGATTAAGTACATGATGATTTATTTTCTCCAACTTGTGAAAGGGAAAAACGAATGTCGTAGGCTCGGTTAAAACCGTTATATTATATTTTTGCTAAATGTCAAACAGCAGCGTAGAGACTCCTGCGAGTTTTATCAAAAACTATTGCAAGACAATTAAACCGGAAGTATCTCAAACTTTCACAGTTTTTTTTAACGTAATGTGCATTTCTCTCGATTTTTTTCGAAGTTTACTTCCTCTCAGTTCTTCCTTACTTCTATTGTGCATTTTAAGTTGCTCGCGCATGTCTTCTTAACATAATATTTTACTAATACATTCCCGTAAATAAAGCCTATTCGAAGCATGTTATGTATCTTATCTTCCTTCGTACTTATATGTAAAATTACCTTAAATTTTAATGATAAACAAATCGCACAACAAAAACAATATTGGAAGGAGCTTAATTAATATCTAATAGTTGATTCACGTCAATATTGAATTTCATTTGAAAGTAATTTTCTACACACTACGACACCGTTGATCGTGTGTTGGGTCTTCGTGGAATAAATCACAGTTGTGAAATTTGTGTACAACGAACGGTTGGCGAATAATTAGAAGTAGCCAGAAGCAAATAGAGAGTTGTTACTAAGTTTTGGTTTAGTTTTAGAGTAAAAGCGCATCCAGCTTCTTTAATTAAAATCGAAACTTGTATACGTATATAGTCTTCATACATCTTTTTGTTAATAATCGATTTTAACGACGTTGCAATGTTAAATAATATCGAAAGTACCACGTCAATAAATGATCTATTAAATAATACGACAACGCCGCAAACACAATCCGATTTCCATTGTTGTAATTGGTTTGGGCTTTATCATTATCTGGTCGTGCTCTTTGTTCTTCTAGTGGGATTATGTATACTGTTCGTAAAGGTATTGTACTAAAAAAAATATTAGTTTTGATTAATAATGCTATTAATAAAACCATATCTTTAACTTTATTGAAGATGATAATTAAAGCTCAACGAAAAGCATATAGACTATTGCAACCAGGTAAATATGCATATTAGTTTCTTACATAATGTAATGTAATTTATTAAATCTTTAATTTCTTTTATCAAAAATTGAAATGTATATTTCATTAACGCAACAATGCCAATTATTCGGACAAGAAGGGTTATAAAATTTACTCTTTTAATTAAGGCTTTACTGAAGAAGCACTGATTATTACGGTGCTGATTTTCAGAGGGTTTTTTTTTAGACAATTAGTACCCTTGATATCACGTTAATACTCTTTATAGCTAACAGGGCTCACAGCTGGGTCTAAAGGCTCAACCTATTTTATTCTTTTTTATGAATTTATTTCTAACGATTTTATCTGCTTTTGATAAGTTCAATTAATGTTTAGAAACTTTTTTTTTAGAAAGTCATAATTTAAAGACATATGCTCAGCGATAGCGTTCTGATGCCAAAAATATCAGGGCTTGACCCCTTTTGTTTATCCGAAATTTAAAATCTATTTTCTTGCTGTCAAAGTTATAAAGCTATTTTATATTCCTGCATATCGGATCGTCGCGGACTAAATTATAGACAGGAGAAGAAGAAGTTGTTCTAAGGATGGTTCTTGCAGACAACGCCAAGCCTCAGAGTACAAGTATATATATTATTTCGTATTCGGATTTTTTTTTCTTTCTTTAGAGGTTAAGAGACGATGGGATCTTAGGATGTCTGTTGAAATTTTATATTCCCTTAATAAAACAAATTGACTGGCTTTTAATATAGTAGGTAGGTAGGTAGTGTGTATTTCTGACGGTGCACTTAAGCCTTTAGGGGGCCGAAACATTGCACAGAACAATGCAAGATGAAAAACTGGTGCTGTTTTACCACTTTCTGAAAATCACGTTTGAAACAACCATTTTGACTAGAAAATTTAATGGACATGAACAACGTTACAAACTTAATATACCCTGTTCAGGGAATAATTACTTTGGCTACATTATACAAATCTACCAGAACAAAAATTCCGTGCCATTGTTGTACAATCAGCACAAAGTACTTTTAAAAATAAATATTGGCTACTATAAAATGAAATAAGTATCAAATCACCTAAAAATGTTTGTTAGCAAGTGTATAACGGTATCTTATCAAGTCATTTGTCATTATTTCATCGGAGAAAATCCTATACCTTAGATAAAATTTTCACATATTTCCCGCAATTTATCGAAAACGGCACGAATTACGAGTTTATACTCACACATACACACAAACATACAAGCATTAAGAAAGGCAAATATTAGAGGCAGGCGAAAAATCAAAACTTGTGCGAAAATTTCGGATAAAGTCAAACGTTAGTTGAACATTAACTTTGCACCGTAACGTTTGGTATCCTTTTAAATAGTTCGCAATGCCGGTAATGTCGGCAAACATTACAACGGTCGGTACAACCAGCGCCACGACTATCGCCACACATTTACAGAATGTAACCGTGAGCAAAAGCTTCGATCCGTTTAATAATCAAACTATACCATTCTACAATAATAACTCAACATCGGCTATCGGCTTTAATTATTCAAATACAACACCATGTTGCCAAAATCAATTTCCAACCGACCCAACCATTATTACATTTGGCGATTATTGGTACTGGAATGAAATCTTTTTCTTATATATAATGGTTTTACTTCTAATTTGCATTGGAGTAGCTTATGTACGTAAATACATACATACATATACTTGTATAAATCTGAATGTGTGCTAATTCTATTTTACTTTTCTTACCACATATGCCGTTATACCAAGAAGGCTATCCGCGCACGTACTACATGTTTAGCGGCACAAAAGCAAAGAGGTAACTGTACATATTCGGTTAAAGGATGCTATGTAGAGATTTATAATTTTATTTTATTATTTTTACCTTACAATACTTTTGAAATATCATATGCCTGTAAAGGCTACAACTTGTATATGTATATGTTTTATATATGTATATACACATATGGTATACATTTATATAAAGGGTGTTTTTGTTTTAATCCTGTGGTTTTCAAGAAGAAATAAAACACATATAATTTAATGTCATGGCCAAGAACTTAGCTTTATTATAATAATAAGGATTTGCCAATATTTTTTACAAATGATTTCGGACAAGTGACTGCCGAGAGACCCAATTTTAGCAGCAATTGGGACCGTATGTCAGCCATAACGCGCCGAGTATTCTCTTCCAATACGTCAATCGCCTTCGGCTTATGTACATAGACAAGCGACTTCACTTAAGCTCACACACCACAGACCTACGACGCGAGATATTGCGTGAAAAAGTTTCTATCAATAAATTGGTTGTTTCGTTGGCTGTATGGCATGTAGCGCCGACTTGTTGGAACCTAATGTCGCCCCTATCAACATTCTCCAATTATGGTACGAATAATTCATTAATAAATCTATAACATTCCCACCAGACCGGGTTCAGCTTTGATGAAATATGGACCAATAATTCCCTCTGCCCTTAAAGCAGACCAAACAGTGACTTTTTGACGATGTAACGGCAGATCAACAATGGCTTGTGGATTGTCATCCCTCCAAATGGGATAATTTGGTTTATTAACATACCCATTCAACCAAAGAGTGAGTTTCATCGCTGAACAAAATTTTTTGGAAAATCAGGATCGAACGTGTTACGCGGTTGATGGTCGATCGAATTCAATTATTACACAAATTGGATTGTGTAAGCCCGAAGACCAAGATCCTTACGCAAAATTATCCATAAAGTGGATAAGTACAGTGACGCGATGGACCCATTTGTGTCTTCTTTGATGCTTTACCCACAGCAGCAATAGCGTCTCTCGGTGTCCGAGACGTCCATCGTTGCTCGAATTACCGACGAATATGTTGACCGAATATTGGACATAGTGCACGATGCGTCGCGTGACCGAACCATTATTTTGGCAATATATATAAATAAAAAGATAAACCAAACTGAGTTTAAATCAAGTTACAGCTGTCAAAAAACCAATTCCGAAAAAAATATTTCCTTATTGAAAACCACACGTCTAAACAAAAAACATCCGTTATATACACATATATACATTTGTATATGACCAAGTCGCCATCAACTCCTCATTAACTTCGAAATCAATTCTTTGAAGAAGCACGATGTGCCTGTGTAAATTCTACCAAAGGTGCCATCTAATGCTGGCTACATGATTGAAAAATACCATACAATAATCCACACAACAGTGTTTACTTACAGAAAACTTATGTTGCCAGTATGAGGTAACAGCCGACAGTGCTTCTACCTGATATAAATTAATTGCACTGCTAATAGACCTTTTGAGCTGATTCATCATCATAATAACTGTATCAAGCGATCAATTCTCCATACTTCGGAGTGCACCATACTTTGCATTGGTGATTATAGGAAAACATCAATGTTTATGTAACCGGTTTTTGACCGAGTCTATTTGTGAGTGAAGGTGTTGTCATTGACGCCATCTAATGATAGGCCCAGGAACGGGCCTTAGACGTTAACGGAAAGAATGTTAAAAAATCGGATTAGAATGTAAAGCAATGAAAGGGTTAGTTTTCTGTGGGAATCGGTTACATTGCCGATACTTTTTTCATATATCACGATTATATGTATGTATACAACGCGCTACTAAAGCCCAATAGTGCGAGGGTTACGCGAGTTTGTTCAAAAACCTAAAAGTAGGTAACAGACAAAACGCTGTCCGTTGAATATAAAGTCATATGTCTTCTGCGGATTTGCCATGAAGCCGTAGCGATTGATTGATGATAAAATGTTTTTGATATTGTTTACTTTTGTAACAACCGCCTTTTTATATGGATTGTAAACTGTCTCTGTTACAGTCGTTCTCCGACTTCTCTTACTTTAAATTGCATACTTGTATATATGTATATCATCTGATTTCGGTAAAATGCTTACGTTTTTCTGTAATTAACCTAAGGTCATAAGTTTGCTCTTGCAAATTTTTGAATTAATATAGATCATGCTCCACCTGCTTTCCACAGGTGAAGGGTTACAATTCTTGTTTTCTCCGGGCCCGGGGTAAAACGGTGGGTGCCCCCTCTTTACAGGAATGTTCCTAATACTTCATAAGTTTTATTTACTATCTTTCCACTTACTACTTCAATGTTTTTAAAGATTAAGTCAAATACGTCGTAGTAGTTTATTTTCTCATCACATCTGCATTAAATTTGTTTTTTTGTTGATGTTGGGTGGAAAAAATTTGTATTGTACGCTTTTGAAAATCAATAATACATACATAGATACATACATACATAGACTTTCAGTCAAAAATAATTTTTCAGATTATACAGGAATATATGAATATATCAAGACTTGACAGTTAATATGAAGACACAAACATCTTATTCAAACATTTATTTATCGATCTAATTAATGAAAAAACAGTTCTTTTGAAATCGGTTGACTATCATGATTAAGTTTTTGAACATGAAGTTTAAAATCCTCCAATCCTCAATTACTGGAACTCAGAAGTGAGTTTTTCGAGCTTTGGCGGCAGCGAATGTGTCGATAACAGTCTGAAAATCCAACTTCTTGGCTAATTCTGCCTCTATGCCTCTAGGCACAGTGTAGCTATCCCTAAAATACTGCCCTGTGATGAGCATGATCTATTAGGTGCGTAACTAAGTTCCCGCTGTATGTCAATAGATGGCTCCAGTAATTTGTGGTGATCGATTTTGATATATCCAAAACGTGATAAACTTAACCTAAATATTTGAAAAGGAAACTGCGTTTCCACATTAGTGACATTGTTTATGTGTCATATACTTTTGGTTCTGCGAATATGTCCGATTTTTTACCAAACAATCGTCATTTGCGGAGAAGTGTCACTTGGTCTGGCTCAAAAACAGCTCCACTCACATGACGACATCGAAAAATGGCTTGATTCGGACAATACTTTGAGTAATTCATTTGTAACTATTTCCTTACAATAAAATTGCATTTTCATGAAAAAACAGCGAGAATTTAGTTGCACTTCTAATATGATCCTTGCTAAATCACTAAACAATGGTTCACCACTTGAATCAGAAACGGGTAAGGTGCGAAATATTCTCAAAGCGATGCATATATTTGAAACAACCCATCCTAATGGTCGAGCATGGATTTAAAAATTTGCATCGCAAACGTGTCTGAAGTGAATAGCTTCATTGGACAACTTGTCAGATACATAAACGGAATATTTTTGAGCAACTGTTTTTACAGCTGCGTTGAGTTCATCTTCTTTCATATATAGAACTACCATAGAAATGAGAATGATTTCTTTTGAATTCCACTTCTTCCTTATTATAATTTTCATCCCCTTCTTCATGTCGGTCGTTTCCATGTTTTATTGTTCTTGCTGATGGTAACATCGTCTCGACATGCTTTGAATTCTCTGCAACAATTTTGCATTTATTATAAATTGCTCCACACTGGTCGCGCATAAATTGCAAATCCGCAAGAATGCTTTCTATCTTATCTAACTTCAGCATCTATGGTGGTCTTGATCTCTTGAAGAATCAAGTTCTGACAAATTAAGCCCAAAAGATTTCGAATCGTGCTAAATGGAATAAAATTCGTACAAAAAACTAAAAAAAACTTATTTCCAAACAGAGTTAAAAAATGACCGCTGTCATACAAACTAACCGATCAAAATGAAGTTGTTGTAACTGAAACCTTAGAAGAGCCTTATGGCTTCCATGCAGCCGAAGTTGACGTTTTTTCCAGGGACCATAGGATCAAGTAATATAAGCAAATTAAATTCTCTTTCTTAGTAAATGATCCGAACCAAAATTAGACATTAAATATGTGTTAGCTTCCTATACTAAATACATTTCATATTTTCTTGAAATTATTATGATCTTTAGACATGGATCACTTATAGAAATTCATAAATTTTATTGTTGTTAAAATTTATTAGATTACTCACTGGATGTTAGCTTATGAAATACCTTAAATTGTTTTGTACGCTGCAGTTAACTTGTTATTTAGTTGCAAAAAGTTTCACATCGGAAAATGGGTAAGTTAAAAATAAATCAACACAATACATACATACATATGTACACGCAAACAACCATAATTTACCTATATATAAACTTTAAAAGCAATTACGAAAACACTTGAAAAATTTGTCTTCATTTTCTATGCCATAATTACTCGTAACTCTATAAAATTTGTTTTAACGCCGCAAAGAAGCCGAAATTCACGACACCCAAATACACATAGTAGATATTCAACTTGAATATCTCCCATTTCTCACGCACCGCTAATCGCAGAGCGGTCCAGCGCGCTGTGTTAAGCGACCTCTGCTCGTTGAATGTCGAATGTACACAGCATTTGGACATTACCCAGAAGGCGGTCATGCGATTTTGTGTGCGTAGCGTAGCCTCAATGCCGCGTATTAGATCGTTGGTTTTCAGTATGAGTAACATCTGACGATCGACCTGCTCTAACACATCGGAAATATGCGGTAATACGAGCGAAGTATTGTTTTGTAGCGTAGCTTTCTGTGTGTTAACGAAATTATAGGAATAAATTATAATTTAAAGAAAGCATATTAATGCAACTACTCACCTCTTCTTTGGAGTATTTGACTTTGTTAATGCCTTGGATAAGCGTCTCCCAGGGACGGCCCGTTACCATACATGCAAACAATCCATACAAGTCACCTTTGATGCCCAAGTTCTGACTATGCACGCGCATCGCCTTTCGATCCACATTCAGAATGCTGAGCCACAGTTTGGAATACTCATAACGAAATTTATCCGTTAGATTCGCATATAGTCCATGATCTAATAATACGATTTCTACTTGTCCCTTTGGACTTTTATGCACCAGTATATTGCCTGGATGTGGATCACTGTGCACGAAACCCGTCGTGAATATCATTTCCGAATAAAGTTGGCCGATTTTGTTGGATACAGTGAATGGATCTATTTTATGCTTTTTAATATAATCGAGATCGTTGACTTGTCCGCCTTCAAGATACTCCATGACTAGTATACGCGGTGAGCTATGTTCCCAATATATTTTCGGTACGCGCAACCATGAGTATTTCTGAAATTGTTTGGCAACTTTTTCAGCATTTTTACCCTCATTTAGAAAATCCATTTCGATAGGCAAATTCTTTTTGGACTCATCGACCAACCATTGCACTTTGAAGTCGGGAAAAACGAGAGCCATAATTTTCACTAAAATTTCCATTGTTTTCATATCGACACGTGAGTTACCCTTCACATAAGGGTGTTGTACTTTGACAGCGACCACCTCGCCTGTCTTTAATGTCGCTTTGTGAACCTGCGCTAGTGAGGCGGTACCAAGCGGTGTCGGCTCGAATTTCGCAAAAATGTCCTCAGGGTTACGTTTCAAATCCTGACGTATGACTCTATACAAATCTTCGACGGGATTTTGTGGCGCATTCGAGTGTAGTACCTTCATGGTTTGCACGAATTCTTTGGGTAATAAGTACTCTAGTGCACCAATATGTTGACCGGTCTTTATGTAAACACCCTTATTGACGCAGATGAGATCCAGCAGCTTTTCTGCGGCTATTCTATGTACACGACTCTTTTCCGCTTTGTACTCGGGCGAAGTTTTGTCCCATTCCCGATAGTAAAGTTCACGTTTGTATGTGAGCGCCACATCGAAAACGGTGATTGCCGAACGGCCGAGACGCACAATACCCAACGAATTGACATCGTAGTCGTTGGTGTGTAGGCTGAGACCGGTGCTGACGACGCCGGCGCCAATGATACTGTACGAAAGCACACGTCGAAACATTTATGGCACAATGGTGACTCGTTTTTTTTTTACCCAGGTGTTGCAAAGCAAATGATTTGTAGTGTACAAGGGAAGATAAGTGAGGAAGCTGTAAATACATAGCATATAATTAATCTGATGTGTTCAGCAAATATTGCGCAGAGGGTGAATGTGGGTTACTCCCACACTGAAGGATTGTGATGTGATTGTAATAAGGTGTTGTGACAGGAAATTACATATGCATTTTAGAGGTAAGAGCTAAAAATACTACATTAATTTAGAAACGTGGCGACGAAAGTCTGCAGAACAGCACATAATTCTTCAACTAACAATAGTTTATAAATATTAGACAGGGTGACTTTGAGGTTAAGTTAAATCGTATAAAGTTGAGCCTTTATAAAAATTAAGTTTGAAGTCTACTTTAAAAGACGTTCTTTACATCCCATGAAGCTACCCATTTGTCGGAACCGCTGTTATCGGAACACTATAGCAAATAGCTGCCAAACCGAACGATCAAGAACAAGTTCTTGTATGAAACTTGTTTATATGTGAAGGGTATTATAGCTGCGGTGCAACCGAAATTAACGTTTTTTCTTGTTTTTGTTATATGACGGTCTACCCGGTCTTTTTAAGAATTTAAGAACCCCTAAAAATACCGAATATTTATATGATTTTGATAATTAGTTACTCTTATGCCCTGAGTAATATCCGATTTCGTCTGTACTAAAGTCTTACTCTATTTTTCATTCAAGTTTCCAGAAATAATCGTATATTATAAAATTCCTTTCTTTCATCCTCGGAATAGCAATACCAAATTTTGGCATTGAATTCATTTTTAATTGCTTTGTGCGCCTAAATTACATCACTTTCTTATTTAAAAAACATGTTTTCAAATGAAAGCCGCAAATTTGGAACGCTTGTGATTTAATGTCACTTTAATCAATCATAATTATGACTTTGAGCATTTGCCATGTGTTATCAGCGAAGTCTGATAAGAAACTAAACGGTAAAAACGGAGAATTAGAGTAACATAAAAATCCCCATTCACACAATTGTAGAAATGCATTACACTCGTACAAGATTGCCATTAATAAATACATATGTATTTGATTGCGTGAATGTGTTTGTATATATTTAGGCGCCGTGCCAAACAGCTGATCGCGCATTACAGAAAAAGAAAATAAAAACTAAACCTTCACGCAGCGCTCAAGAGGAGCGCAAAGAGTAACTGCAGAGAATGGTGCACGTTGTCTCACCGCTGATTGTTTGTTTTTCGTGACTTTCACTCCACCAAAGCCAAGCCACAATGCCAGGGCAGCAACAGTAAAAACAATAACAGTCAGCAGCAATATCACTAAATTCCAATAACCACGGCATAGTAATGCCAGAGTCAGTAGAAGCAGTGTGCGTTGCCGAGGCAGTGTGACGTGGTTACATAAACAATGAATAATTTAGATTGCGTTTTCTAAATTACACAAGCCAACGAGTACTCGCGCACAAAATACATACAAACATACACACGTTTGGTGGAAGCGGTGCGAATTTCACTTACATATTATTATGTAGTCTTGCCAATTTTTTGTGAAATCGTTAGAATCTATCAATTGCAACACAAACAGCGTGGCAGTGAGGCGATGTTAAATAAATGAATGAGCACGCCGCGTAATACTACAAATCCACTGTTAGCATGACTTTTGACACTGGTTTAATTCATTCCGTATATTGATGACGAAGATGACAGAAGAACGATGACGACAACAGCATCGACTTTGACCTTTTCACAGCCATACAACACATGCGCTTACCGTGAGCAACAACACCCGACTGATTGGTTAACGTAATTCTTAAGCGATTGGCTCTCGTTGAGAGATTGGACGCCGCACATCTGTATGTGCTTTGGCTGCGCTACTGTGAGTTTTTCTATGCTCACGCTCGCGACTGCATATTTGTTTTCAGTTGACTTTTGTTTTACTTATACATTTCAATGTATTATTTGAATACCTTTTCGCCCGTCAGATATTTATACCCTTCACAGGGTATATTAAGTGTGCCACGAAGTTTGTAACACCCAGAAGGAAACGTCCGAGACCCTACAAAATATGTATATAAATAAACAGTATAACAAGTTGACTCGACTCAGCCATGTCCGTCTGTCTGTGTCTGTTGGCCATTTGTCGGAACCGCCGATATCGGATCACTATAGAATTTAACTATCATAAAAACTGATCGATCAAAGTCCAGTCCTTGTTTGGAAAATTTTTTTATTGACCAATAAATCTATACGAACTTTGGTATGGATTATTGTCCAAGGCAACTGTAAAATCTTCGAAGAAATTGTTGGGATTGGACCACTATAGCATATACATAGCTGTCATACAAACTGGCCGATCAAATCCGAGTTCTTGTTTGGAATCTTTGGTATTTGTGAAGGGTGTTATAGTTTCGGTGCAGCCGAAGTTAATGTTTTTTCTTTTTTTTTCGTTTGTTAAGGTCAGCTGCTGTATTGAAGTTCAACAGGTACTGAGGCGCATGAATTTTAATGCGCTGGGTTATTTGGGTTAAACGAAAACAAACCCATTTTCATTAAAGAGCATCGCTGTGTGTTTCATACTGATGATCATTAGTGTGAACGTTACCATAAGCTCAACTGTATATGTGTGCGTGCGTATTGTAACTTGGTTATCAAGCGGTTTTATTTTTGCGCCGAAATGTAGATAACATTTTGCCATATCGTTTCTGGAGCGGAGCGGGTTTGTCATACTTCTTGTATTTATTGAGTGATGGTCACTAGACCTACCTATGTAGGTTTTTGGGATCCTATTGTACACAAACTTCAAACTACATCCTCCACCTTGAGTACAAAAATTATCTCACGGTATTTGTGGACTTAAATGTGGTTGTTGAGGAGCTAAAATTTCTATTTTTAAAAAAGGAAATGTAAAAATAATACAAACTACCCTGGAAATATTGTATTTAGACATACTTTGTAATAAATTTATCATAATTTTTACAATCGAAAAAAAAAAACATTTTTGGACCTTAATTTTATAAGAAATTAAGCAAAACCGTTATAAATCTATTTATCTTATTCTAATGAATATTAAAATTTTCTTACCTTCTGCTTTTACGACGCAGCTCGTCTACGTGCCCAAAGTAGTGGAAATGCCAGCCCACCGGCCGACGGCAGCTGTACAGAAAACGCAGCGCCCAGATGCGACAATCCGCCAACATACGAGTCCGCCATGGCAAATTATCTCGACGCAAAGCAACAGTTGCGCGAGATGGAAGAGGGTGCCTTAGCTGGTGCTAATGCCATGACGGCTTCCACAACGACAATCGAAACGTGTATATCTAATGTTGACCAAAGTCATACAGACTTGAGGACCACCATAAACGATGCCGCACCCACAGGCAGCGAATCACCAAGGCAGCCGCTGCAGTGATAAAAATTATATACATACATATTATGGGATTACTAATGGTCTAGTTGTACAATTCTACTGAATAAAGATATAATGCCTATATTACACAAGTGATCCACCACAAGCAAGTCATACATACGTATAAACCCAATGCTATATACTGTACACTTTATCACAAAAAATATATGTAAACATATGCAATGCAAAACTGCTTACATTTTTTTTGTCAAAATCCTTAAATTCTTTTCTATGCCTTTTATGTAAAATAGAATTTAAAAAATCGACGACATACACGATACATACATATCAATAATTACGGTAATTCAATAGTTGGTCAATTTAATATGCCAAAACCAAAGAGCACTAAGCAATTAAAAGATAGCAGCAAAGAAATAACACAACGAAAAGGTAATAAAAAAAGACATCGTAAAAACGAAGAAGACTGTATTCTTGTTGAACCTCATATCGAAGTTGTCGAACTAATCGAGAATCATTCGAAAGAACTACTAAAACCGACAAAGGAACAAAGCGATGTCACAAAGCCAACACTACCGGAAGAGGTCAACAACAATTCAACACGGTCGCTGAAAAGTAGTAGCAAAAGGAATGTGAAAAGGCGGCGTTCTTTACGCTTATTGTCTATGAAAGAAAATAAATAATTTCTTTTATTGTATTTTTTATTGATTAAATGAATCTTAACTAATAAATATTAAATAATAAATGAAGTATTTCAATTAATGCTTGTATTCATTTTTTTTTTTTAGTTTTCTCATTACAAGCTTCAAGATAATATACGTAAATATACAAAAGAAAGTGCTTAATATACAACAAGCGGACTTAGCCGCAATTGAAAAATTAATTATATCGATATATAAATATGTAAGTAATAATCCTTCTAAGGCTAAAGTACCAAATTCTACACTTAAAAGTATTTGTTTTACGTTCTATTCAAAATGGTTTGCAATGATGGCCCCCACTTGCCGTACGGATCTTTGGCAACCATAAATAAGTCATTGCACCAGGTAAATCCGATAACGCGATTCTCAATCAGTTTTTTAAAAGCGGCATTTTCGTTTATGAGATCTCGATAGTTGTCATTGGAAACAATCGCTGCATCCATTTCAGCAGCGAGCTGTAAGACAAAACTGCAAGGAGAGGGAAATTAGCTATTTGTTTGTATATTACATTTCCGTACTTACCGATCGTCATAACTAATGGTGAATTTCCCCGGTAAATTTTTACATGGTGTAATAACAATTTTGCCCGCACTGTGCAATTCGAACATAGCGGCGGAATTGGAACATTTATGCATACGAAATTGAGGTACAACGGCCTTGACTTCATGTCCCATTTTTTCAAAGTAATCAATACAAATTTTCAAACCCTTTACTGAAAATTCTCGGTTAAGGGCGTGGCTGTAATGGAGGTTTTAAATGGAAAACTTTTTAATAATTAAGAATTTAGCCGTTAATAAAAATTTGGTATAAAAAGTGTTTTAAGCGAATATAATAAGTAAAAAAAATTCCCACCACAGTCGGTTCTAAGATACCGGTATTGACCTGAATTTTCACCGGCCAGGCGCTGTCATTTCGGCGATATAACTCCGTTTGGATCGGTAAGTACCAAGTTAAAATTGGAAAACATCGTCGGAACAACTCCAGCAGCAGGGTTGCATTATATATGTATATAAATAAGTAAGGAAGAACTAACTTTTGGTTCAATTTAGATAATTTTTGGTCACAAGGTGGCATACGTATTATTCACGCAAAGTTTTACCCCGATACAATCATTGTTGCTTGATTTGCATACTGGAAAGTGAAAGAATCAAATGGAATTTAAAATGGTGTTGTATGGGAAATAAGCGTGGTTGTAGTCCGATTTCGCACTATAACATAGAAATATGAAAAGAAGGTTATGTACCGAATTCGGTTGAAATCGGTTGAGCGGATCCCAAGATATGGGTTTTCACCTAAGAGTGCGCGGTGCCACGCCCACTGACTTATTTTGAACGCGGTTCCTATAGTCATCTCATACCATCCTAGAGAGAAAATTTATTGTCGATGACTTTTTTAGTGCTTGGTTTATCGCGCTTTTAGTATTTTTAACAGTACCGTTATATGGGGAGTGGGAGGGTGTCCCCCGATTTGACCCATTTTCACACTGTAGGTAGAGGTGCTGAAAACATTTGCTTCCAGTGAATTTTGATATTATAGCTTTGGAAGTTTAGGAGATATGCACATTAAACCTATTAGGGGCGGGACCACGCTCACTTTTAATAAAACGTTTTAGCTACATATGCCCCTCCTTAATGTGATCCAGTGTACCAAATAACAGTCTTGTATCCTATTGCGGAGTTTAGTTATGGCAATTTATTTGTTTTTGACTAATGGCGTTTTGTGGTTGTGGCAATGGTCCGATTACGCCCATCTGCAATACCAACCGTCTTACGATACCAAGAAACATGTCTACCAAGTTTCATAAAGATATCTCAATTTTTACTCAAGTTACAGCTTGTACGGACGGACAGACAGTCAGCCGGATTTCAACTCGTCTCCTCCTCCTGATCATTTATATATATATAATTCTATATCTAACTCGACTAGTTTTAGGTGATGCAAACAACCGTTAGATAAACAAAACTGTTATACTCTGTAGCAACAAGTTGCGAGAGTATAAAAATGTTGCGAAAGAATTCAACATTCATTTTTCGATGAGATCACGAAAGCGTTACAATCAAATTTGGTATTTTATTAAGTTACGTATATTTTAAGTCGTTGACTCGCATAGTCTCATTACTACATTTTGGATGTCCGAAATATTAATATAAAGATTAACCTAATTGACTAAAATGATATATAAGTGATATTATCTCAATCAAAGCTAAATTTAATATATGGGGTTAACGAGGAAAATGTTAATGAAAAGATGGGAAATCCCAAATTCATTATGGACTAATGAAAATCATTGTGTAGTATATGGAAGTGGGGTAATTTGTGGATCGATATCCCACATTTTTGGCATTCATATATAGTATATCGAGCCTTAGAATTTGAATTAGAATAGTATTAGGTTTGCATCGCAAACTAGCGTCTATTGTGCCCTCTCCTCCATCACATGTATTCCTAAAGTCCTAACACCCTGACCAACTACAGAAACCTGCTGGGTGCTATTGAGGTAATGTGATCCCTGTCCACATAAATGGAACCGAGGGCCTAGAGTCTGCCTTTACAAATTGCTGAGCAATATAACCAGTCTTATACTGTCACTTAATTTTGATAAGATATCTTACAAACTAACACATATATATTTTTCATATATTAGGCATATGGGGGCTTGTGAATATTTTGACCCGATTTCAACCAGTTTTGGTATTACGAAATATCATTACCAGAAAGAGGCTCTCCGAGCTTCATTAAAAGAACTCACAGATTGACCAATGTAAAAGGTATAAAGGCAAGTAGATATTTGAAAATTCGAATATTGGTTATAAAATGAAATACCTTGAGTGCACTATTTGTGCAAAGTTTTATTTTGATAACTTCATTTAAGTTTGATTTCTATACTGTAAAAAAAAAGATTCAGATGGAATTTAAAAATTTGATTATATGGTTGTCGGTTGTCGATTTCATAGTGTATTATAGGAATGTTTGGGTAATCTCACACATCATCTTTGAAATTGGTCAAGTATTTCCTGAGATATAGGATAGGCGCTGCCACACCTCTTGTCAAATGTATACAATTGCTTCTATAAAGCCTTGTCTTACCAACTTGGTTGTGAAATTTAAAGCTTGTGGCGCATTTAATTCGTGAGTTATCATCTCTCAGTAGTTTTCAACATAACCGTTATATATGTAGAAAGCTTCATCAAAATATCTCAAATTCTACTCAAGTTATCTTTTGCACGGACGGACAGACAGTCACATGGATTTCAACACGTCTCGTCATCATATTTATAACTCTATATCGATCTCGATTAGGTTTAGTTGATACAAACAACCGTTAGGTGAATAAAATTAGTATACTCTGTAGCAACATGTTGTGACAGTGTAAAAAGTTAAACAAAGCAGACAAAAATTGTAGCATACTGTTAGGCTGATCATTATTAAAAAAAAAAAAAAAAAAACGAAGTTTTCAGAAGATGATTTTTCTGACGGAAAGTTATTACTTTTAAAGAAAGTTATAGTCCTAAGTATTAATTTTAAATAATTAAACTAAAAATATTCTACAAATACATTATTTAAAATTTAATAAAAATTCATGAAGGATGTCAACTTACTTAAATGCAACATTACAGCCATCGATGAGTATTAAGCGTTTCATAGATTGTTGCTCTGACGCTTTTGTGTTACCAGCATTTGGATTATATGTGTTGTTATTGTATGCCTGCAAAGCCTTTTTCTCGCTAGTTGTAAAGAGGCCACTGTTTACAGCCGCTCTTCTCGGCATACGGGGCGGACTTACCGGAACGATAATTGGCTGCAAAATTATTATAACAAAACATTAATATGCGTAATTTAAAAATCGAAAATAAATATATGTGCGTTTTAACTTTTATGGTTTGTTCAAATATTAATTTTTCTATATTTTTCTATAGATTTCACTTACATTTGGCACATCATTACTACTGAGCGGCACAAAATCTAATGCAGACGCAGATCTATCTGATTTCCGGGTGGTTTCGCTGATGAATATTACGGAATCGTCCATCTCCACATCTTGCCTTTTGCTATTTACTGAATTTGTAGCAGGTCTCAGCGTGGAGTCATTAAGGGTGTCATCCAGAACTATGACATCTTTCGATGTTACTGTCTGCTTTTTCTTTCTATTTCTTCTACGGTTTCTTGAGTTCGACTTACGATTTCCGACTACTTTCGACGTCTCAGTATAATTCGAGAAAGTGTCTTCCGATCTTATACTGTCTAGCGTATTAATTCTAGAGACATCTTCGTAGAACATGATAGTTAAATCAGTGAAATCTTCTTCATTCTTTTGTGAAGAATTTCGCGCTGCTGCGACGCCGCATGGCGTTGAAGTGAGTAATTTGTTGGTAGCTTGAGTACCGCGCCCATTTATACGCTGTATTATGGAAACATAACCGGAAGAATTGTTATTTTTTGCCTTCGAACGAGATGTGTTGGGCAGATCGTCATCAATGATGATTTGTTCAATTTGTGGCTCAACACATATGCAGTCATCATCATTATCCTTGGAAGTGTTCGCAGTTAAATGCATATCGTCATCCGAGATTATTTCACCTTCTTCCATACTTAAATTGTGCAAGTTGGACGCTGGAGCGGCGCATTTATTTGCCATATTCAGTTTAGTTCTCAAACTACGCTGTAATTGTTTGGATTTATTTTGATTTTGTAACTGACGTCGTTTTATGGCCCGCAGAAGCTTTTTGGTAACTCTTTGGCCGGCGCTCGTTACATCTCTGTTTGTTGTGCTTCGACTAAGTCGCTTATTTCGTAATTGTAGACGGCGCTTCTGTGTATTTAAAATATGTACAAAATATAAGAAAAATATGTCGTGTTTTATATTTACCGTATTATCTCGGAATTTGTTGAATCCACCGCTTTTGCGTTTAGCGCTAGTTAAGGGCGTCTCGTTTGCTTCGGTCTTTGGGAATGTATAAATATATAAATATAAAAAAAAAATAAAAAATAATAATATTAGCTAAAAAATAAATAAACTTTAGATGCACTAGGTTTAGTAATAAGTTAAACTTACCTGTAAAAACAACAAGCTAACATTTGTAATGCCATTTTAAAAATATTTTCGCCTCGTTAACCTGACGATTGGCGATTATTAGGAATAAACTGGTATAAAGATTCGTTCTTGTATTAAATTCTACTGAATAACTTTGTTAAACCCTTAACAATGTTTTTTTTTGCCACGAAATTTGTAACATCCAGACGGAAACGTCGCAGACCCTAGTAAACTTTTTAATTGGCGAGATATCTTCGCGAATTTTGGCGTAGATTATTGCTTAAAGGAACGCTACAATCTCCGAACAGTTTTGAACCACTATAAAAAAATTACAATACAAACTGATCAACTTTCTTTTTATTTGTGAAGGGTACTTTAGCTTCTTTTTTTCCTCCTTTTTGGTTTCATATGAAATAATTTTAACAATAGAGCAGAGCTCAATACCGTGACCTTGAATATATTATACCAGTTTTATGACTCACTACTTAGCTTGTTGTTTCATATACTTACCTGCATGGTCTCCAACGATGTAGTTACATGATTATATGCATGTTCTTTGACAGAATAATGCAAGTCTCACAATTATGAGCAAAGGAAAAAATAAACGGCACAGAAAGCATTCTACAGCTCTAGTACTTTTACCTTCGCTCAAATATTTTAAGTTACTTGTTTTAATCTGTCCAAAGAACAAGCGGTTCATTTAATGAAACACACTGCTGTTTTAATAATTTATTTTTATTATTTTACATACAATAAATACAGAGAAAATAGGCAACATTTGAATTTTATAAATATTTTATTTGTTTGTGCATTTGCGGTGCAGCGGTTGATTGTTGAATATTAAGCCGGATTACACATACAAGGTGGGTTCAATATTTCTACTAAACTGTTTCGATTTGACACCGTTGAGATTTACCTGCGTTTATTAATTTAACAACATTATAACAACACATATGAAATTTCCACGTCCGCGAACGCAACCTATATACTAGCTATATATATATGTATTTAAAATGTGTATGTGTATGCATTGTTTGGAATTCTCAAGTTAACTTTCATTTGATAGAGCTGCATCCTATACAATTTTTTGATTTTAGCTATACATAAATTTCATATAGTACCATCTGTCTAATATATAATGAAATAATAAGGTCAACGCGTATTCCATACAAAATCTAATTTCGAAATTCATCAAATTTTACGTACAGATATGAAAATCGAATTTTTCCGAATTTAAATCACTAAAACTGACAGTTTTATAAGTCATTACACTTTAAGTGTGCTTATTTCGTCTTTCATATTAGCACGCGCTGCAACTTCATAGCGTGTTTGAAATTCCGCTGTTGAAAAAATATTTGGTATGCTTAGTAATGTTTGAAGCACCTAAATACCCAAGTCAGAAAATAAGTTTAGAATTAAATTTTGGTTAGGACTATATATTTAAATTACCTTCAAACGCATATTTTTATAATCCTCATCGCTCATATGGTCATATTCCATACGCAGTAATTGGCAGTAACGTTTATAGTTCTCACTACTGACACTACGAATGTAGAAAAATACATATTTGCAACGTGTTTTATTCACTAAATAGTTAATAGCATTATATTTACGCTAATATGGCCAAATCCAAATCCTGCAGTAAGTTGGCGTCGTCTTCAAAAGTGGCCTCTAGTTCGTTTTCCGCAGATTTATCGCCCAAAAGTTTTAATATTGAGTTCTTGGACTCTTGCTAAAAGAAATTATTATAACGGCTAACGGTTTACAAATCGACTGGTTGAATACTTACATCATCCAATGACGCATCGCAACAAAATTCTTCAAATGCTGCACAATTTTCTTTAGCACAAGGCTGTATGCCATCATATGAGTAGTATTGGAAAAATGCTGCGAGTACCAATGCTGGCTTACAATGCAGCAGATGTTCACGTTTATGCTGCATCATTTCATTCCAATTATGATAGTAACGTTTGGAATGGCTTTCATTAAGTCGCTGATAAATACGTGTGTACCAGCTTTTGGCCACATCCTCAGGGACAGCGAAATTGTTGCACACTTTATACCACAATTCTTCCATTTACTCTTATTTAGGTTCACACAATTAATAATTTCGAATATAGATGTTTAATTTTTAATTTACGCGGAAGACAATTTTTCCTGTCGCTAATATTGATGATTCAACCTGAGTAAACGATTTTTTCAGTCTTACTTTTTGACAATTTATACATAGGTTATGGAAGGCTGGGTATAAGGGTGGCGAATTTCGATAAGGATAGGGATGCTAACCGTTATATGTGTAGGTAACTAACAGGTGTTACGTTTTTAAATAAATTATTAAGTCAAAATCCAAAGGTTGGACTGTTATATAATTTTTTCAATAAGTATAAAGATTAATGAACCTTTACTTTAACAAGAATTATAAAATAGGCATAAAATAAATAGTTACAACATACAAAGATGTAATTAAATACAAGTTGGCAATTCTGTGTAAACCCCATAACCACCGAAGGACTTATGGGAACCACACTTTTGTGACTATTTTAACTACGCACGCGCTGGTATTGTCAATACGAATAATTCATAATACCAAAACAAGCTAAATGTTATGTTGTGAAATAGAAAAACTCTTGACATGTTTATAATTAAATTGTACCCCACTTACCATTGCACTAACTATTACTGTGCTACTTGGCCCGCGAATGTCTTTTGGCTCTGATTGCACGTTGTTTAACTTGTGTGCTAATATTTTTTGAGTTGCTAGTTTTCCTTTTGCTGATAATCGCTGGAATTTTTTTCGCGCTTTTACTTTATTTCGTTTACGCTTCTGTTTGGTCAAAACAGTTGCATTGGTATCGTTAGCCGTGGCAAGAGCAGCATCAATGCTTTTATTATTTTTACATTTAGAGCCCCTTCGCCTAATTCTTTTTTGTTTTTGTTTGTGACCAATTCGCATTATAGCATTTTGGGTAGAAAATAACTTCGAAAAAATGTTTTATTGTGTAAATACAAGAAAAAATATGGCGTTTAAAACTGGTACAAACGAAATGTGATTGAATTAATAAAATCAACAGCTGATAGAACTTCATTTTCGGTGTCATTCACAATAACATCCCACAAAACGGTTAGTATGTTGCTTCAAAATTAAAAAAAAAATAAGTTAACAAATTTAATTTGGAAACAATAAGTAGACTTATTGTTATTAATTTGTTAAAAGTATATATTAATTTATTATAATTTATAATAGTATATAAGTACATTCTGCTTCACTCTAAAAAACATAGCCCGATGCGACAATGTTGTTCACAATTGAAAAACAGGGTTCCGTATCATTGTAGCGAAATTTTGCGAAATATGGCCTTCTTGTTTTTATTGAACATCTACTATAAAATATATAGTTTTAGTTTGCATATAAATCTAAGATTATTATTTTTTAATGTAAATAACTATTTGAAGAAGTTTTGGTATAAATACAATTTATGTTCACACTTGCTCTGATTTGCTTAGTACGGCAACACTATTCCTAATCAGAATAACTTTTGGGAAACTGCGAAAACTCAACAACAAGTATATAAACAGCACAAGATATAACCAATCGTATCGCAAATATCACATTTAAAGCGCAAGGTGCAGATTATTATTTTCAAATCACTTCTGTAATAGGAGAAAGTAAATATATATATTTTGTGAGCATAAATAAATAAGTAAATTTTGTTCTAAATAGTAAGAAGCTATATAAAAGCATTTAAAACTATGCAATGGCAATTGGTTACATTCAACTAAAGCACGATTCCTTTATTGCAGACTCTTCGGAACAATTGCAACAAGTGCTCGGCATACGTAGAAGTGCATAAGAAGATAGCTCTTCCAACTTGCATAAGTGTAAAGGGCTTCCGGGGAAAGTTTCATCACGGACGTGTTTGGTCTGTTGGATTATTTCGACATTGAAGAAATGGATTTCTGGGCGCTTTTGACAATTGTCGTACTAACGGTGTTCATTATGAGCTGTTGTGGATACTGTTGTTCCTCAAAACAACGTGGAACCGTATTGGCAAGTAAGTATGGCAATACCAGGAATACAGCCAAGTTGAGTCATAATATATGCATACTAAATCGGGGAATTTGATCGTTAATATATAATTATTAATATAATTTAAACATACATTGACGCTCTTGACAGATTTTTTTTTTTTTTTTTTGTTTTCGTTGAATTGACGGTTGAACAAAGAGTGGTTGCAAATTATTTTCTTATCACAATATACTTTGCACAGAATTTGTTTATGTAGACTTTCATACATATGTATATACATAAGTGAGTATGTTGAAGTTTGTACATACTTTGAAGGTACAGCTTTTTGGAGATTGATCACGTTTCTTTGTTCCCTTCATCAACGTCTTACCGTAGTAACGTCATAAATGGGGTATACATATGCTGATGCACATATAGATGTATACATATATCTCATAAGTATTTGTGTAATTACATATTTAAATGCATTAAGAGCTGATATAAACATAATTTTGTTAGCATATTGGATTTCATCCTAAGGCAAACAAGAAAGGAAACGCAAAAGTTTAAAACATTGCATCTTAATTCTGCTTTCGTTTTTTAGGTAAAATTGCGAACTGATACCACAATGCGTTGGCATGCCCATTGACCAATTTTTGAATTGGTCCATATGCAAACCCGATGTACTATCCTTATTATTAAATTTAATATTATTTGTTAGACTTATTTCACTTTTGTTAGTGTTAAACATATGGTTAGTTACATATATGGGAGATGTGGATATGTACTCGCCTTTCTGATTTTCTCTCAAAAATGTATGCTAAGGACAAACATCGCCCACAAATTTTAATTGACAAAGTTGGGTGGTCAATAAAATTTGTTTATGGGTGTAGCAATGGGCGTATTGCGAATATCTGCATCTGTCTAAAAGACATCGAACAATCTACGCTGCCTCCAGGGCTAAACAGGTGGACCATTAACTATCTGAGCGGTCGGTAATCGTCCGTACTATTTCGAGATCGAAATAAGATGTTAAGAAGAATTAAACTTGGGTTCCGCAGGGTGCTGTCCTCTACCACTCCCACAAACAATGAAATTGATGGTATGTGTTCGAAAGTAAACAGCTATCTCACCGATCTTTCACGCTTCTATGCAAGGAGCCTGATACTCTCTCCCATTAAATCCACAGCGACTATATTCCCGAACTGGACTAAGGGGTAAAGACTTGATCTTAATATCACAGTCGATAACATTAAAATTCCGGCTGTCAACAACTCTAAGACATTAGGTGTTGCACTCAACAGCTTAAACTTCTTTACTTCGCATACGTCCCCGGTTATTGCCAAAGTACAGAGCCGTAACAAAATCCTCAAGTCGCTAGTAGGTAAAACGTGGAGAAAAGATAAGGAAACCTTGTTCGCAACATACAAGGAAATCGGTCGGCCGATCATTAACTATGCAGCACCGATATGGCTTCAGACGTGCTAGAACTCTGCACTCTGGCTCCCGTTGAACACCTAGTAAGGCCTGCATGCTTCCGGTTAAGAAATACAATGTATTAATCTCCGAGCAGTTTCTGTTGGGATGGTTTCTGCGAAATACCTGCAGTAATTTGCTTGAAGCGGAGCCTCTCCTACGAGCATCAAGATGTCATTCCTTGATTACGTCGACGACAAAGACCCGGGGTCGGTTTTTTATGGGCCAAATTTTCAATGATCTCATTTTTCATAAAATATTGCATATTATTCTCAACCTTTCCCCAAAAAAAGTCAAATATTCCGTTACTTTCGAAAATTTTTTGTACTTTTGGTTTTGATTTTTTTTCACACGGAGCTGAGCTCTTATTTTTGAGTATTATTTATAAAACTTTCAAAAAACGTATTTAAATTAGTGAAGACAATACACTTTTCACTTTCTTAATTTTTTTTTTTTTTCGTAGATCGTTGCAATAACGGCTTTTGATACAATGACTTAATTATGTGAGCACACGCGACTAGACCAACTGCGAAACACTTTAAATTTTTTCGCCAACCACATTACTAATTTCTCTGAATTTGTTCTTAGCAATTACGAAACAGATAACAAAAACTTTTTCCATACCATTATACAAATGCAAAGTTACTTCGAGGACTTTATATTGTGAAACGTTAGTTTGCCATGTAGCGACTTAATTATGTGAGCACGAGTGTATATAAATGATAGGGATGAAGAGACGAGTTGAAATCCGGGTGATTGTCTGTCCGTCCGTGAAAGTAACTTGAGTAAAAATTGAGATATCTTTATAAAACTTGGTATCGTAAGACGGTTGGTATTGCAGATGGGCGTAATCGGACCACTGCCACGCCCACAAAACGCCATTAATCAAAAACAAATAAATTGCCATAACTAAGCTCCGCAATAGGATACAAGACTGTTATTTGGTACACAGGATCACATTAAGGAGGGGCATATGTAGCTAAAACTTTTTATTAAAAGATGGCGTGGTCCCGCCCCTAATAGGCTTAATGTGCATATCTCCTAAACTGCCAAAGCTATAATATCAAAATTCACTGGAAGCAAATGTTTTTAGCACCTCTACCTACAGTGTGAAAATGGGTGAAATCGGGGGACAGCCCCCATACCCCATATAACGGTACTGTTAAAAAATACTAAAAGCGCGATAAACCAAGAACTAAACAAGTCATCGACAATAAATTTTCTCTCTAGGATGGTATGAGATGACTATAGGAACCGCGTTCAAAATAAGTCAGTGGGCGTGGCACCGCGCACTTTTAGGGGAAAACCCACATCTTGGGATCCGCTTAACCGATTTCAACCGAATTCGGTACATAACCTTCTTTTCATATTTCTATGTTATAGGGCGAAATTGGACTACAACCACGCCTATTTCCCATATAACACCATTTTAAATTCCATTTGATTCTTTCACTTTCCACTATGCATATCAAGCAACAATGATTATATCGGGGTAAAACTTTGCGTGAATAATACGTTTAAGGTATGCCACCTTGTGACCAAAAATTATCTTAATTGAACCAAAACTGTTCAAGCCCAAGTTCAATATGTGAACTCCAGTGCCTATAGTTGACTTTTTACCGGAAATATCGGTCAACATAGAATAAGGCGGTAAGATCCACAAATAAATCTAAAACGAGTATACCATTTGACTTTGCGAGAGTATAAAATGTTCGGTTACATCCGAACTTAGCCCATCCTTACTTGTTCTATGTTATAGTACGAAAATGGACGAAATCGGACTACAACCACGCCTATTTCCCATATAACACCATTTTAACCCATATTTTACTGATTTTGTTTTCATTTTCAACATCAACCACATATTATTTTTTATTTATTTACCTTTAATGTCTCGAATAAAAAAAGATGTTTTCATTCTATATTTTACTTTTTAAGGAAATCTTCAGAGGCGTACCTATTATATTCGCTTTCAACTGAAACAAAATAGCATTCACGCAGTCATTCTAGAAGTAATTGACAGAAATCGCAATAAACATATAAAGTACTGTTATCAAGCATGATTGCATAGTGACTAGTATATGAATTAGAAATATTGCTTTAAATCTGAAATTTATATTTATTTCATAACCAACTGCATATCCCTACTTTTTAGATGAAACTCGCGCCCGCAAAGTCTCGAACTCCGAATCATGCCCAAATTGATCATGTTAGAAGTTCTAAAGAAACAAAATTCACATCAATTTTATTTCTAATTTACATTGATTAAAGGCTTGTCTATCGAACACTCTATCTTATCTAAACCTAAACCTCGCAGGGAGGCAGGGATTGGTTCACAACAAATTGATAGCAATAGTGTGCTATTTGAAAATAGAAATCTACATACAAGGTGCAATTCAAAAGTTTCAGGACTTTTATTATAAAACGAATTATATTTGTTTTTTTTTTGAAAAATTTATTGGTCGCCTTCAAAATAGTCTCCTTTCGCCTGAATACAACGTTTTGCACGTTTAAGAAGGTTATCAAATAACTTTTTTAGGTTATGTGTCGGTATAGCGTTGAGGATGGCGGTCGTCGCCTTTTGGATGGCATCAACGTCAGCATAGCGGTTTCCTTTCATGGC